TACCACATCAATCACGGTCGAAGGTAGAAAGTATCAAATTAAGATGCGATATATTTCTTAAATCCAGAGCATCTAGCGATACTTATTTTTGGAAATTAATTTCTAAAGAAACGTTTCCAAATATTTACAAATTGATTTTGTATCTGAAATCATACTTTGGATCGACGTATCTTTGCGAATCTGCTTTTTCAACCATGTACGCCATAAAAACCAAACATCGGTCGCGTTTAACAGATGCACATTTAATTTCGTGTTTACGCGTTACAATAAGCTCGTACCAGCCACAATATGATAAATTTGTCGCAGATATACAGTGTCAAATTTCAAATAAACGAAGTGAATAGGATGTTCACCTTTTGATATATGAATACTTTGATTATTTTCGTCAGTAAATTTTTATTTTGTAAATATTAAGTTTTCTTAGAAAAATTAGCTAATTTACCATTTTTTCTTGTTACCAAAAATAAATATATAAACATGTACGTTACGCTAATTAAGCTCTGCCATTGGTAGACCGCCTTCGATTATTTAAATGTGGAGTAGACCACGGATCCCAAAAGTGTGGCCACCCCTGGAATAAGCCATACAAGCTAAGTTGCTCTATTATGACTGAGTTTTCAAGGTTATACTATCAAGTATAACAAAATATGATGCTTAACAAACACGAAATCGTAAAATTCAATATTAGACGCAAAGCAGCTTTATACTTTTAAAAATATTATATCAGTTTTGAGAACATTCGGACGGATGCCCGGAAAAAAGTAGACCATATTTTCGTTGACACATGATATGATAACAGTATTTCATATATGACACATATTATGACAATAGTATCTCTTTGATAAGTAATATTTTAATGTGAGAGTGAGAAAATGTATTAAAATTATTATTTTAAAAAATCGCGCATCATCCATATAAAACCAGTATTTTCTTGCGATTAATAAAGCATTCGTTTTAATGGATCATTTTACTGTTCACTTACTTATACAAAATACCTTCATCAACCATTTTCAAATTCTTGTGATTCTGTGCTTATTACGAAACAACGACCGGTCACTTAATCATTCACCTTTACTGCAGAATAAATTAAACGCTATTCTCTAGGAAAGGATTTAGAAACCGTGAAGAATTTTGGCAAATTCCTTGACTCGAGGGATTTGCTGTGAGTTCTACCCCTCTAATGTGAAGCAACACATTGTTGAAAGGTCAATGAAGTCATGCAATTTCTATGCATTCAAAGGATTAAATGTCACACAAATCTTAAGCAGATTCGTAAACGTGGTATGTCACATTGTTGTCCTCTATATGTAACTTTGTTTCGTCACTAAAATTCATATTTCGCTACGCAGTACCTGTTTATGCGCATGGGTCTGAAATGAGCTAAGTTAAGTGAGATATCTTTAGAGATAAATATTGCATTTTCGCACCCCTTCTGCCTAAATAAAAATATAAATTTTATTTAGGAAACTTAATGTCTAAGACTGAAAGAGAACAAATTATTAGATTCTTTGGATTCGTACTGTAATGCCATAAAATATGTCCATTTTTCCATTTTTTTAATATTTGAATAGGCAAAATATGAAAAAGTCAGTTTGTTTAGCTCTGCAGTGAGATAAATTTGCCTTGATTTCCAGTATTAAAATTTTTAGGCATATGAGCCACAAATTCGTTGTGAACGGAATAAGTAATGTAATTGCTTTAATGAATTCCAACAAATATTAGGTCTGAAATTATCGCGTTTATTAAGCAAACATTTTTGTGAAATTTCTCCGTTTCTCACAATATTTTGGCCACATTCTATAATCTGACCACAACAGACTTAAGCAGATTAAAATTTATCAGACGTAAAATGATTTTAATCCACAATTATATCGTTTACAATTTAAAAAATTGAGGTAAATAAATATGAAATTTACATGCATTTTCATGCCATAATAATAATAAAAAATCAAGTACCTATGAAATGTAACACCTGATTATAAAACCTCTGGTTTAATCTTTACTCTACTTTACTCCCAAGACACAACATTCAGTTCTTTTAAGATGGTGCTTATCAGTCATTTGAATTTAAAAACAAACCTTTCCTGAGGTTCTAAAAATACAATCGTCTGAAAATATATACAGGGCAAAAATTGATACACATATACAAACAACATAATACTCTGCAGTATACAATACCATTTATAAGACAAGCACTTAAAAATATTGCGTGCTTCTGCAATCCAAAAACCATTGTGCACTAATACAAGTGCATATAACGATACGATACAATTGAAATATTAATGCAATAGTTTTTACCCTATTACATTCCAATACTATTGCGTTTTGAACCACAGGAGGCCGAGCGGTAAAGTTGCTAATCACTGGTAGTTCGGTTTTGGGCTTGAATCGAGGCGAACTGACTTATCACTCGTATGTCTGCTTTCTTGGCTTCCCCCGTGTGTAATGTGGGTACAAGTAAGTTTTCCTCAGAAAGTCCTCCAAGATGATATCCCTTTCCTTAAACAGACAGGCATGGAGTGCTTTATCATAATCAAGTAAAACAAGCTAATGCGCTTTACAAATCTGTTGTACATATATTAATACTTATACGAAATTTAAATTGGATATGCAAGTAGAAACGGAATTTGAAAAAATTGCCTAATATGCTGACATGCCACTGTCTTCAAAAATATGCGCATTACATATTTTGCAATTTCATTTTTTTCTGTCTTTTTTTTCCTCTGACAACTTGGCAACTGGTCTCATTCACGCTGTATCCTAGTTGTGGCAGTCTTTTAATCGAATGGAGATACCAGCAGCTATTTCAATGCAGTTCTGGATACGTCTGAGCTCGCGTCTGCTGCAGCAAAAGTTATTTGTCCGTGGATATTTATTTTCGGCTGATGGAAGGCGAAGATGATATGTACTTTTTTCTGGGCAGTCAAAAGTGTATTGTTCCAGTTCTGCAACCCCTCCAAATATGCAATGCGCACTGTTTTAGAAGCCTAAACGAAAGAAATAGCTCATGTATGGGCCATTACAGTGAAGAATTGTGTCAGTTGAGAAGTACCATTTCGTAATCTATCTCTGATGTTGGGAAGGTAATTATGTACTCTATTGTTAGTGTCCGCTTTGTCTCAGGGAATATTCCACTGTTCCATTAAATAAGGTCTCTAGTCCTCGTTTTAGTATGCGACGTTTGACATAACATGGATATTATGAGCGTGCATTTGTCCGTGGCTGCAAATTTCGCATTTACATTGCCCTGTACTTCAGTGCGTGCACAGACCTACTAGGGTCTTGATCTGGTATTTGCCGGCAAAGATAGTAGCATTCTCTGGATCTTCTTGACTTGATTAGTACATTTCGAACCCCGTATAGAGTGTACACTATTCATGTCAGAATATGTAGTTAATTTTTGACCAACTAGGATTGCTGTGGTGAACTGCTGCTCTAATTATAAAAGCTCAGTCTGAAACTCTGTATATAGAGAATTTAGTCTTCGTGCCCAGTTAAATACACTGCTGGCGCCATGTAACACACAGAAGTTATAGTCTGTGCGTTTGTCCTGTTTTGATCCATCATCATATACCTCATATGTCTTGAGAGTTGATAGAATTCGTAGTTTCATATTGAGGACGAATTTTACCGAAGGGGACTGTTGGATTACTGCGCCTATAAACAGTGCTGATGAAATCTTTGTACTACACAGATGTATTAGGATGCGGACTATGGCATTTTCTCCTTGTACAGTGAGATGGAGAGAGAAATGCTAGCTAGGACGTTTATTTCGTAGGTAGGACAGATATTTGCTCTTTCAATAATTATGATAAATTTAAGCTCTACTAGGACGCCAAAAATTGATTATTAAAACATTTGCATATGTTAATTTTTGTGTCACAGTTTTCGAAGTTTGAAATAAATTAGGTTTGCCTCAAAAAACGTTACATTCATTGAACAATAAATAACAGCCTTTGTTTTTGAACCGAAGTCAATCAAACGAAACTACAAATTAACAGGTTCTTTCCCACATAAATTGAAGTAATGGATATATAATAATATTTATATGCTATTTAAGAATATGAATTTGAAATTTTTCAATCAGGTTTCATTTGAAATAAATTATTAAAACTCTTTCGCACTGTAGCATTCCTAGCGAAATTAAATATGTTCAATCGTCTGCAACTACATCAAGAATCATAGACAGTAAACGAAGCAAATCGTTTTTCTTTTATAATGAAACTAGCTTTCAAATAAATCATAGATCATTCGACAATGCGCTATTGAAAACAGAGAGGCAATCATAAACTTCTTCAATACAAATTATCAGAAGAATTACAAAAACGCATATCCAAACTTATATGTATTGAAATGCGTAAACAACACGCAAATAATATCAATATTCTTTAACTAAATGGAGCAAAATACTTTTATCCAAAATGCACCAAAGGAAACACAATATTCATGGACAAAAACGCAGACAATTTTGCATGCCTCAGAAACAAAGATTTTAAATATTACTGCGGCGAACATAAAAGGGGTAATACTCGCAATTCCTAAACTTGGAGAATAATCTTAAATGCGATATTAATTAATATTATTTAAATATTCATAATAATCATAGCTATCGCTTCCGAAAGCGACAAATATTTCTGAGAACAACAGAATTAAAAATCTCTAATAACCATGATCTCTAAGGCGACAAACTATCATAATCCAGACGACTAATCTGCTATATTCCCTAAAGCGACTGCCTATAGGTGATTTTAATTTTATGCCTATAAGTGATTTTAATTTAATGATGCCTATAGGTGATTTTAATTTAATAAACAGTATTATTTCACTGTCCAATTAAAATAGTATACTATCAGAACTATTTCGAAAAGATATGAATCTGAAGAATCGTTATGTAAGGATTTGAGAGTTGGGGGAAAAATCGAGTAACGTGTTTATGACATTTTTAGAAACATTAAAAGTTGCGACGTGTTTTTTAGATTAATATAGATATAGATACACACCCATTCTGTTAGTATATGCCATATTTTGGCAGTTGGGCACATGAATGAAGCTTGGCATGAAATGATGACACAGAAGAAGTTAGATGTTTTGAAACTCCATATCTTTATTCAATGCACATGGCAGATCATTATTCTTTCAAATTCTCCATAAAGTACATATCCAGTAATGATTCAACTTCATAACTATTCTAACAAAAGGAAGATGAAGCGACAGAGGACGGCAAGGTCTTATTGCAGCAATGGCAGGGTGCAGTCTCCATGAAAATGGCGCGAACTCTTCATTTATAGCAGCGGTTACGTAACATGCCTGAATGTTCTCGAAAGTACTGGTCTAAAAGGAAGATCCTGAAATCACGGAAAGTTAATTAGATGTTGTCTGTTCGGGTAGAGCAAAAAACATCGTATTTTTTTTATATTTTACATATATATATACTTAATAAACCAAAATGGGAGGTGCACATCTGAATATTATAGAAAATTCCAATGTTCTGAGGCTACTAGTTTATGAGTTATGCGCGATACACAGATACGTACCTACGTATGTCACAAAAAAGGTACCTTTCGAATCCATTTTTTAATCCGTTTTGAAAAAAGAGAGCTCTTTATTCCATGCATACAGATTTCATGCAAGAACATCATTGAGATGGATTCACGAACGGTCAAAATCCATATGTTCTTTGAAATATGATACCCAAAATTTTTCGCGATTAAAAAATTTCCTTTACTTTATACAAGGAAGTAATGCAATACTTTCTATACTTCGCACAGGGAAGTAAAGGTTGTTAAAGTCGCGAGCGCTCGGTTTTGGCTACGCCAACAACATTTTTTCACATTATTGATTTATGATACATCATTAACAACTCAAATAAAATGGCAGTTATGTTGCAATGAAAGTTTTACTTATTTTTCGAGTCCATAATCAAGGAAATTAAAATACTTAGATTATGTTTCGTATTTTTTCTTCGATATATTTTTCAATAGATCCAAATAAAATACATGATGCGATACGGATAGCTATTAACGCATGCAGATCCCGCACGATATTTTGAGTCACCTCATTTTCCACTTTCTGTAATCGAACTCGATTTATAGTAAACTTCTAGGCTGCCCATCCTACCTTCCTTAAGTGATCTCAGAAATGCAAGGGTTACAAATCTGGATATTGCACTGGTCAGTAAAAGGAACCAATGCAATGAAAGCATTCAAGTGACACTCTTGCTGTGTGTTCTCTTGGGAGCTCTACCATGAGTACTAACATAAGGCTTACGCAAAGCGTTATCACGCTATATTTCTAATCATTTGCACATCTCTCTGACACGTTTTTTCATGCTATGTCTTGTAGTGATAGAACCATAGAACCATTCTTTTAGGTCCACACATTTTTATGACAATAAGTGTATTAACAACAGAATTGAGATACAAGTTTTAGGAAGTAATGTCAACTTAATGAATTTATTTAGTCCTTTAAATTATATTGTTGAAATTGATTTACGAAAATAATATGTAAGATTATATTTAGGAGCCTTAATTACTCTTCGAAATCCAAAAGTAAACTTTTTGGGACTCCTTACATATTGGTAAACGTTCAGTTATAAAAGCAAATTCAATGGGTTAAGGTTTACATTTCTTTGTGCAGTTATCCTAGCTGGTTGCGCACTTCTTCGTTCTTAACAAGACATTATTGAATAAAAGGGAAGACACAGCTCAATAGGGAAAATGCATTTCAGTTTTTTGTTCGTAATTTTCGCGTACGAAGAGAATTATGAGAAGGAGAAACAGCAGACTACACTTTAGCTACTCTCAAAAGCTGAGACGAAATGCCTAGATTAATATATGGATTTTAAAGTAGTTCTACTTTATAACAATATGTTAATAATATTTAACATCGAAAATTTCACATTACCATTGGATGAAAGATATTGTATAAGTACATCACACCTGTTAGCTTTGAAATCAAGCACTGGAGAGATATGATATAAGTATATTGCCCTTTTTAGGCTAGAAAGAAGAAATTAAAATATTAAAATAAGTCTTGATGGGCTATTATAAACTAAAGTTTGAATAAGGTTTCGCATATTTTTTAAATCTTGTAGAGGTAGAAAGGAACAGAGAAAGATTATCACGTTCAGAGAATTTAAAAAAAAAATGTATATGTGAACATATAGGCAAAAATGAGGAAAAATGATTACCTAAGTATATTGCTTCTTTAAATTCCTCATTTACTGCCACCTCAACAACGAGCAAACCCTATTTTATTTAAGAAACGTTTCAGCTTCAATTTATCGAAATATATCGATTTAAAGTGCTAAAGTCAGACTTGAAAACGTGGTTTTATATTTAAGCCATCAAATAAAACATAAAATCAAGTAAATTGTCCGTAGTTGTCCCGCCATTCAGCTTCAAATATGCAAAATCAGCAAAAATATTTCCTATTCATCTTCGAGGATTAACGTGACATATGCAGGAGCGTATTCTTACCCAAAGACCGAGGAGGAATTTAAGAAGAATTTCAACATCTATCGACGCGGATGACCATCGATTATGGCATTTCATCGTATCAATCATCTTTGGTTCTTCTGCGGAAGCTGTAATAAGTGTCAGACAATCGCCGGAGTTTCAAGTAGGGATATCTCCTTTCTGAAATATTGCTTCAGGTTTATTCCATGATTCTTAGCCTGCTCCGTTTCTCTCTGCAAAAGGCAGCAAAGACGATTTCCTACGACTTTAAAATTTTAGAGACTGCGAGCTTTACCTTTTTACTCTCGGTTAGAGGGGATTTGTGAGTAATGTTGCAAAATCCAGCAGTTTTTCTATATATGTATGTATGTTGTAGAATAACTGAAAAATATATTTCCTCGTCCGATACTTATTGAAGGAAACGAAATAAAAGAAAGTAATTGGTTATGCTGTTCAAAATAGGTATCATCTGATATATTTCCCTCAAATTAACTTAATTTCGATTATATGTACTCCAGAGAATTTAGCATTGAAACTATCGACTCTTTCAGATTGTAAAACGTAAAAGGAAAACAAGAAGTTACTTTCCATTAAAAAAGTTAAACGTTAAAGAAAAATATGAAAGTTTGTTGAAATGGCAAGCACATTTAGGAATATACCTTTTACAAATACATCCCAGATTGGCACAATAATGAAAATTATCAAAATAAGTAAATTATTAAAATTCCTAAATCTTATATCAGTATAAATATGAGGACCGATTACAATATCTTTATACTTTTATATTATTAGAAAAAGAGATTCATTATTAGATGTAAAGTAGCTAAAGAAGCGAAGAACGCTAAATCATCTCGATATAATTAAGGCTGCGACACTCAGAATCGACATATTTTCTTTCCATTTATATTGGTGATCCACAGCTACTGAAATTTAAAATTCTTCTTTCAATGAATGCAAGTAAAACTAATCTTTCGTTTTCAAATAAAATGTTTATAGACATTTAGATATTACTATAAAGTTAAATGATGAAAAACCCCGATGTTAGAATAAATTAGTGTCTCTTTTGCATAATGAAAGTGGGAAGCGCAACACGAACGTGCGCCAAGCTATACATTAGCGAGAGCGCATTCACACTATCCCTTCTACCTGAGACAAAGCGTCTGTCAGTTATTTTTCTTTCAGCAATTTGTATTTCCGTCTCGGGATATACTCTTGCAGTTACTGCGTAATAGATAAGTTTGATGATTTATAACTGATGACTGTGTGGTAAGTTATTTTTTTCAACATTTCAGATTCAACATTTCGTGTGAAGTTTCATAAATCGGTTTGTGCTCTACTGAAGTTAATAAAATCACTCTTACTTCGGAAATAACGATTTAGCAACTGTATTGACTTAATGATTCTTTAATAAAACTTCGCTTAAAACACCTTAGCTGTGTTAATAAACAACACGCCACTTGATTTTAGAGATTTTAAACCTCATTATTTTCCCGATATTGTCGGTATTCGAGGAATAAAATGTCCCATGTCTTCTTATGTATCTAGTCAGAACAGTGCAAATGTCTTGCATGAAGATTCTTTAGGAAAACTGTTTTTAGCTATTCAAAGTTCTGTATTTAAAGAATGAATGGGGATATATGCTTAAATAATTTCTCCATGCATTAACAAGGGATACTGTGATTGGTTTTCTTGAACGCACATATTACTGAACGCATATATCCTTCGCCCAGACTTGGTTAAAGGAGCATACTGCGGTACTAAAGCACCGAGCCTCGATCCCGGAGAAGGTATGGCCGTCTCTTCATATGAGGTAATTATGGCTCATCTATTAGGCGCCTCCACAAGAAAGAGGCCACAATTCTGGCCTTAGTGTTGGCCAAGGCTAAGCAGTAAAGAAGCTGAGATCACTGAGCCGGGTAACAGAGTGGATATATATATAAATATCTTTATATACGTTTGGTGCGGCCGATTGCAACCAAAATACGAGGTGCTCATCTACATGTTATAGCAGTCCTATATACAAAATTTCAACGTTCTGATGCTACTCATCGTTTTTGAGTTATGCGAGATACGTACGTACGTACATACGTTCATACAGACGCCACGAAAAATTCTCTTGAGAATTCATTTTAAAGCAGTTTTATAATTTTTTGGAGGAAAAGAAACTTTTATTCTGTCCTTACGTACAGATGTCACGCAAAAACTTCGTTAAATCGTATTCGATAGCGGTAAAATGGATATTTTCGTTGAAACATGCTGCCTGGAAATTTTCGCGACTACAATACTTCCTTTTTACTTCGTACAAGGAAGTAGAAAGGACTAATGTAACAATTAAAAAATTAGAATAATTTTAAAGGAAAGTTATTATGTGTTATTAAGTATACATTTCAGCTTTAAGCGATTTTGAATATATATAAGTAAATGCAAATTAAAAGTGTATATATGAATAAATACAAAGAAAACAGTTCAAGAGCTTCATGCAATTAATTATGCGCTCATAGCAGCAACCACTGTTGGTAATACTGTAAAGTAAGAATAAAAATTAAACACTTTAATCCATCCCCATATCGCATAATCATAGAAGAAATCTATCAAAATAACACACAGAACCGCAGCGACTAATTGCATGAAAACAAGCAAAAAAATGCGTAAATCAAAGAATACAAAATCTGATGTGTACACCACATGACTTCCTTGTACGGAATAGGCCCACCAGCGGCCGAGCGGTAAAGTCGCTGAACACTGGTAGTTCGGTCCGAGGTTCGAATCCCGCGAACGGGCTGGCTGCATGGGCGTTTTCGTGGTTTTCCCCATGTGTAACGTGTATACGAGCCAGTTTCCCTTAGAAAGTCCTCCACGAAAGGCATTCCTCCTCTTAGGCAGATAGC